GGCAAACTTCTTTGTAGACTGCATCGATTTTGACAAGGAGTCGAAAAGTTTGAGAGCTGGGTAGCGACCGACAAGGGAGAGGAGGAGAGGAGAAGAGGAGGAGAGGAGGAGAGGAGGAGAGGAGGAGAGGAGGAGAGGTGGAGGAGACAGGTGTTGAGAGGACAGGGAAGGAGAGGGTTGAATCCTTCTCTTCTTCATGCTCCTCCCTTGCAAGAAGGTGACATACCCAAGGGCCCTCCTCCTCTTGCTCGCATGTCCTCTCCTCGCTTCCCCCATCCTCATCGAGAGACCGAGCAACGGCAGCGAGTTCTTCCTAGACGATGGGGTGCAGGTGCTGCTGCACGTTCACCGACCCGCCATGGCGTGCGAAGGGAGCAACGACACGGTTCACCTGATGCTCGATGGTGTCCCCGTCGCCGCAATGAGCATGCAACAAGCGCTGTCTCCGCATCCTACCTCCCTCGAGCGCCTCCGTCCTGGCCCCCACGTCCTCACGGTCATGCTCATGTCAAGATGCAGAGACAGAACGTGGGTGGAGGAGGATACAGCGTCCTTCGACGTGCTTGCTGAGTTGAGGATGGGGAGGACGATTGTGGAGGAGAAGACGACGAGAGGAGGAGAGGAGCCTCTGACTGGTCTGGACGAGGTTGCTCTGAGGTATGCCTCCTTCTGCAAGCACGTAGGGCTCTTGCCTCGTTCGTCTCCCTCGTTTCTCCTCCATGTCGTCATGGTAGCTGACGACCCTGAGCTCCTCCTCCTCCACATAGAAGAGCACGCCGACTTCGTCGACCTTCTCCTTGTCCTCCAGGTCTGCTCCTCCGATCCCTGCGACAACATCGTCGACGCATGCCAGGAGCTCGCTCCCGCAATCCAGCCTTACCTCCACAAACTTCAGCATCGCTTCCTCTTCGCGGCATCGGAGGAAAGCGCATGGAACGCCGTCGAGCTCCCGCTGGAGCTGCTGGAGGACGAGGACCTTGTGCTGGTGTCGAGAATTCTCCAGGTGCCCAAGAGGTCCTCAGTCAAGATGCTCCGCTTCTGCCAGTCCTTCCCGCTCCCCCTGCTCCTGCAGGCGAGTCTGTGCAGGAGAGACTTGCGACACTGCTTCCCTGCCTCGGACGGGCCGCGCGCAGCCACAGCAAGGATGATGAAGTCGTTCATGTCAGTTCACAAGCTGCGGGGCCTCGCGCTAGAGGATGAGGGGATGAGAATCCCTGCTGCTGCCTGGACCCTCTGCTGCTTCCCCTTACTTCACACAGCCTCCTCCTCCTCCTCCTCCTCCTCCTCCTCCTCCTCCTCTTTCTCTCCCTCCTCCTTCTCCTTGGGATCTCTTGTCAGTAACGTCTGTGAAGATGGTTCAGACCAGGAAGGAGGAGGAGAGTCGCAGGAGGACGTCTGTCATGATCTCCCTGCTCTAGTCCTTTTCTCTCCTCGCTTGCGCTTCCTCGCGCGTCACTGCCCGGCGATCGCTGCTGCTGCTCCCTCAGTCTCTGCAGCCCAGCTCCAGCTCCCTCCCCTCCCCTCCCTTCCCAGCTCCATCAACAGTTGGATCAGCCTGCCGGATCACCCGGGGGTGTTCCAAGGGTTCGTGGCCTTTGTGGTCGTGCATGCCCGAGACAGGGAAGGGAAGGAGGTGGGGGCTGAGGTGCTGTGGTCCAGTGTGAACTCTTCCTATCTGTCCTTCCAAGTGACGGGAGCCATCGCCTCCTCCTCCGTCGCCGACTTGCAGAGCTCTTCTCTCTTCCTGTGCTTCGTGCCCAGAGTGCGGGGGCAGCCGGGAGAGGAGGAGGAGCAGGCGGAGGCGGAGCAGGGAGTGAAGGAGTCGCAAGGAGAGCAGCAGCAGGTGGTTGTCAGGGTGTACATAGGAGGTCGTGAGGTCTCGAACAGTCCGATGATGGTGCAAGCAGAGGCGGCGAGGAAGGCAAGGAGAGGATGCGTGAGGCCAGGAGTGTCTGCGCTGGTGAATCCTTGTCAGCGGAAGAAGGAGGCAGACGCTCTGCCGCCTGAGGAGGAGGAGGAGGAGGAGGAGGAGGTGGTGGAGGAGGAGGAGGAGGAGGAGGAAGATCAAAGGAAGCAGAGGAGGAAGGAGAAGAAAGAAAGGGAAGAGGAGCAGAAGAAGAAGGTTGGAGTCAATGCGGAGGAGGATCGTTGGGGCTCTCGACCCTTGTACAGTGACGTCACACGGTTGTCTCTGAACCTCTACAGACTTCGAAACGTCTGCATTGCGAATCGAAGCATCCTCTTCTTCCCCATCCCCTCCTCCCCCTGGTTTCAGCTCGATCATGACCCCGTCCTCCTCCTCGGAAGGCACTGGTGGGGGCAGTGGAGCTCGAAGTACTGCTCCGTGACCTTGAAGCGAGGAAAGAGTCTCGTCGACTTCATGAAACAGAATGGCATCAATCTGGATGACGGCGATGCTGGAGAAGCAGGAGCAGGGCCTGTGTATGTGACCCTGGAGGGCCCGTCCTCGCACTTTGGCCACACGTTCACAGACAGCATGCTGCCTCTCTTCGCAACGATCAGCTTCGTCGAGCAGGAGAGGAGGAGGGAGAGGAGGAAGATCGTAAGTTTGCACCGGATATGAAATGCTGCTGATGTTTTCATCTCACAGATCCTCTGGCCCCACTGCGCAAACTTTTGCCCCATCAAGGGAGACAGGAGGAGTCAGGGTAGATTCCGTGATCTCTTCTATGTAGCCAGCAGTCACCCGCAAGTAGACCTACTCTCCCTCTCCTCCTTCTCCCTATCCCTTCGCTGCCGCTGTTTCAAGGAGGTCGTCCTAGGAGAGCTCATCGACACTCGGGTCGGGTATCAGCGAGACAACCGCAGGACTGTTCCCTTCCTCGAGGACCTCGCCGACGCTGTTCGCATGCTCAGGAGGAACATCCTTGGCAGTACGGCATTTCGCAAAGTTGACCAGCGGGAGAGGAGGAGGATGACGTTGGTGAGGAGGAGGGATCGACTGGTAGTGAACATACATGGATTGGAGAGGTTGGGACAAGAGCTCGGTTTCCTAGCCTTCCAAGTAGACTGGGAGCACCTACGTCTCTTTCAGCAGGTCAGAGTTCTTCCTCCTCCTGTTCTGCCTTCTGTTCTCTCCTTCCTTCTTCCTGCTCACCTTGTGCTGTCAGATCCAAGTCATGGAGCAAACCGACGTCCTTGTTGGTGATCGTTCCAATCTCACTTGTTGCATCTGAAATTCTCTCTCGTTTCCTCCCTACCTCCCCGTTCAATCTCCTCTGCTCTCCTCCCTTCTCTTCTCTTCTCTCCATCCTCCTCCCCTCTCCTCCTCCCCTCTTCTTGCCTCTCTCTCCCCATCTACCCCCTCTTCTCCCTTTCAGGTGTTTATGGTGCTGGCCTAGTCAAGATCGCCTTTGCTCGTCCTCTCAGTCTCCTCCTCGAACTTCTGCCCTACTGCCTTCACAACGCATCTGATTTCTGGGAGATCTCTTCATCCTTGTGGATCAGACATTATGTATGGAGGAATGCCTGTAAGATCCTACTCAGTCCCTTCCCTCTCTCCCTTCCTTCCTCCCCCCACTCTCCCTTCTCTCCTCCCTCCTGCGACTCTACCTTCTCTCCTCCCTCTTCCAAACTCTCTCTATGACTACCCGTCTTTCCTTCTTTGTCCTACTACCAATCCTCTCCTCTACATCCCTTTCCCCTCTTCGTTGCCCTTGCTTAAGCTTTCCTCTATCAGATCGAAATGCCTCAAGCTGCTCGCTTCCTACTGTCTCATGCTTCCAGTCGGACTGCGGAGATGATCCTCCCGAGGGCAAGATGCTGCTGGCAGGGAGCAGTCAAGATCCCCTCAGGCAGGACACGCTAGTCAATCTCGACGACATGCGAGTCTTGTTTCTTGACATGCTCGCGTTCCTCGGGCATCGAGACTGGTCGAGCTCGGTTTTGGAAACAGCGTGCAGGCTAAGAGGAGGGCGGGTAGTGTGTCTGCAGTCCTTGAGCAAGGACGACCAGAGGATCTGAATGGACGAGACTGACGAAAACAACAACAAGAAACGAGGAGATGCTGTGTGTGACTGTGACAAGCTTGTGCGGGTTGTGATGCTACAGTCCTTGAGGAAGACATGGCCAGAAAGGACAGGATACCAGGCCTCCTCCCTCTTCCTTCCTCTTCTCCCTCTTCCCTGCTCTCCTCCCCACGAGCTGTTGACGCGACTGTCAGTTCGCTTCTCCTGTCATGGCCGCGGCTGCCGTCAAGTGGAAGGTGAGCAGGCGCGAGGAGGCAGAGCGCATGGAGCAGGGAGAGAGGGAGCAGGGGAGGAGCTCATGGGTAGCGGCAGGTGAGGCGATGCAGGACAAGCTGGTGGTTCTGCCGGCGCCAGGAGGAAGCATCAGCCGGTGTGGGGTTATTCTTTGTATGTCAAGCGCTAGGGAAGGAAGCGAAAGACGAGGAGGGAGAGGGTGAGGGCTGCGAGGAGGGTCGACATGTTATCAGAGGTAATCAAGTGAAAGGTTCAAGGCTTACCTCCTTCAGAGCTCCTTCTTGCCCTCCTCTCTGATCATGCCCTCCGGCAGCTCGCGCGTGTAGATGTACTTGTCCGACCCCTTGCCGAGCTGCAGCACACAAGTCAACCTCCCATCTCCTCCCCCGCGCGTGAGCATCGCGCGACCCTCAGGCGTCACTGACCTCCTTCTCCGTCAGCGGCACGCGCCTGCGAGGCGAGTTAGGGGAGGGAGGCAGCAGGGTCAAGCGCGCAAGTACCTCTCCGACGACAGGTAGGCCGACAGGCTCGGCAGCGAGGCCATGCGGGTGACGAAGGCAGAGAGAGACTTGTATCCTGCCCGGTCCAGGTACTTGTCTCCCACCTCCTGTAGGGTGTAGAGCGCGTGGAACATCCCGACGTCGGCGTACGTCAGCCTGTCCCCGACGAAGTACTGCTTCGACCCCAGCAGACCCTCGCTCTTTTCCAAGTGCATACGCAGGGTCAGGACATCCGGTAGTGTGCTCTCAAGGCCTTCGTGTACTGCAGCTTTCCTCCCCATGATGTCCTTCGAGCCCTCGAATACCATGTCCACCATGCTCTCCTCCTCTTCCGTCGCCCCCGAGAGCCCCAGCTTCTTCGACAGGTACCGCACGATGGCACCTGACTGTGCCAGCCAAGCCTCTGACCCGTCGTCCTTCTTCACATGCAGCACGGGCATCTGACCGAAAGGAGCAAAGGACTTGTACTCCTTGGTGGTGAAGTACATCACGCTGTCATCTGCCATCAACGCTATCAGCAGGGATGAAACGAGCAGCAAACACGAGCAGCAGACATGAGCAGCAGACATGAGCAGCGAACATGAGTAGCGAACATGAGTAGCGAACATGAGCAGCAAACATGAGTAGCAAACATGAGCAGCAGGGCATCTACAGGGGTAGCAGGAGGCGCTGGTGACTCACATGGGGTCTGCGAGATCTCAAGGATGAGACGAGGGAGTTCGCCGAAGAGCTGAAGGCAGAAGTAGTGGAGCTCGTAACGAGGCTCACAAGCCCCTTGAGGACGAGACCTCAGGACGAATCGATCGAGCTCCTCGTAAACGGAGGCAGGGCCTCTCCTTCTTCCTCCTCCCTCTTCTCCTCTCCCTCCTCCCTCTCTCGCCATCTCCCCGACTGCTGCAGGACTGCTGCTCGAACAAACTATTGCATCCCTCAGCCCCGCTCAGCCCGGGCCCTTTGCCCGGGTGCCAGCAGGGGTGCCAGCCCGGGTGCCCTTTTATTCCATGTTTAAAGAAAACATCATCCTGACTATTCTCAACGACTTGATGCTGATGCGCCTGCCAGTTCTTCTTGAATTGTTTCCTTAACTTCTTCACGAATGTATTCCATTTCAATCGCCCTCTGCGGAAACTGTAGCCCGAGTTCCATCCTTGAAGGCTCGTCTGCATTTAATGATTGTTCCGATCAGTGTCAGCTAGCACGTTGTTCATATGCTGCAGAAGATGGTGAGAGAGATGAAGCGGCGGATCAAGGAGCAGACAAGCCTGCAGTGCTTGTCCGACGTGAAGGAAGCGATCGACCTTGGGGATAATCGCATGCAGAAGATGGAGCAGGGAGTGTCTCGCATTTGGAGGTGTTTGTGGTCTTCGTGGAGTTTGCTCGGGCGTGTGAGGCAGAGAAGTTCATCACACCCGAGTCAGGCTGAAAGGGCGACAAGGGCAGGGACTGGCGTAGAAGGATCGCTGGTATCGAGAGAAGCGAAGGAGCTGCCCAAGAGGTCAAGTTCAACGGGGAGAGTCTGGTAAAGGTTCCTTCTCTATTTTCTTCACTGTCAGCGCTCACTTGTCCTGGGGAAACAATGACTTGATAAAGCTGATGCCGAACAGCTCCTGCTCCTGCTCCTGCTCCTGCTCCTTGCCACCCTTGTTTTCGAAGCCGTGTTGGTAGATGATGTTTGAGTGCATGGTGCTGCTGTCTCTGATCTGCCTCAGCGAGGAGTCGTCAAGGGGTCGGTGCTCGTCGGAGGAGCTGTGAGCGACGCAAGTCTTCTCGACGTGGATCCTCACGACGCTATCTCGCACTTTCCTCATCATTTCCTGATTGACGATGGGCAGGGTGAGCTCCTTCCCTTCTCCCTCCGTCAGCTCAGCCACGTCGACTTGAACCAAGCCAACAAAGTCATCCTTTGACATCTGGAAAGAAAGTCAGTCAGAGCATAACGTTGCACGTCCAACTTCTTCATCACAATCATCTACATCCTTCTCCTCAATTAGGATCCTGGTCATCGAGTCCCTAATCATCATGACAATCATCGTAATCTCTAGCAGCCACAACCACAACCACAACCACAACCACAACCACAACAACTCGTCCTCCTCCTTGTCTTCACCATGTCTTTATCCCAGACAGTGAGGAACATGGTTGTCGTCTGCGGCGTCAGCGTCCACTCGAACGTCTCGTCCCAGACGGGGTTGAGGCTCTTGGGGATAACAGAAGATGTGAAGGTTGACGTGCCTTGGCAGGAGTCGAGGAACAGGATGCAGTACGCGTCGCATCCTGACAGCAGGTCCATCCTCGGAAGGTTCTTTGCGTCTAGCAGCCGCACCCGCAGCACCTGCTCCTCCAGATCCCCTTCTTGCCCTTCAACCTCCTCCATCCCTTCCTCCTCCAGCAGCTTCGCTGGCCTCCTCCCCTGCTCGGCCGCCAGCTCGTCGAGGTGCTGGAGAAGCCGCTGCTGGGTCTTGAGCAGCTTCATCTGCCCGATCTGCATGGCGATCTGCCTCCTCATTCCTTGCAGCGCGTGCAGCTGCTGCAGCTCCTCCACCCTTGTCTCGACCATGCCCGACGGGTCCATCCCGTAGCGCTGGATCAGGTCGAAAGCAGCCCAGACCTCCTGCTGACTCAAAGCGCTGCTGTCCTCATTGCAATCCTCAGTCCTCCCAAATGCCTCCGCTACCTTTCCGTCCACCCTGACTGTCACCTTCCCTATCTCCATCCCATCCTCCGTTCCGGCCATCTTGTCTTCTTCCTCCTTCTTTTCCTCCCTTACGCTCTTGCCCTTGCTAATCTTCTCGAGCGCTCGACGAGCAAACAGCGCCATGTCGAAGGGATCGACCTGAACTCCGTTTGACAGCAGCACAGACTTCTGCTTGCTGTACTTGTGCTCCACCAGGTCTCGCTGCGACTCTCTCGTCTCCATCGCTGCTTGCTCCTCCAGTAGTACCTCCTCCAGCATCCGATCCGACACGAACGCCTCCGAGCTCAGCATATTCCTAGCTCCGTTCCACGTTACGTCCACCAGATCGTCAAGGATACCCTTGGACACGGATGTCTCTCCCTTTACCGCCGCGTACGCGTCAACCAGGATAGCAAGGAAGATGTTGAGGAGGAGGAAGAAGGCGATAAACAGGTAGCTCCACAAGAACACGTGGAACGCGACGTCAGGTGCCGCATGCGTCATCTGCAGTCATGTCAGCTCTCCCACCCCTCGTCCTCTCCCTCTTTCTCTCCCTCCTCTCCCTCTCCCTCTCCCTCTCCCTTGCTCTGGTCACCTCCGAGTAAAACTGCGTTGTGTCCATGCTCAGCAGGATGATGATGAGGGTGATGCAGGAGCTGCTCATGTCCTTCATGCCCTGCCCTTCCATCTCAGCATGTCGGACATAAATCAGGAGCAAGAGCAAGAGGATCAAGAGCAAGAGCAAGAGCAAGAGCAAGAGCAAGAGCAAGAGCAAGAGCAAGAGCAAGAGCAAGAGCAAGAGCAAGAGGATCAAGAGCAAGAGCAAGAGCAAGAGGAGCAGGAGGACTATGTTCAACCTCGTACTGATGTCCAAACAGAAGGTTGCCGACTATGGCATAGGAGAAGAAAATAATCCCAAACAGCAGCATAAAGTGCGTCAGATCCTCAGCTGCCCGCGTGATCGTCCTCGTGACAAGCCCCATCCTCTCTTGGAAGTCAAGCGACTTGAGCATCCTGAAGACGAAGAGGATGACGCTGACCCCCGCGAAGTAGGAGAACATGCTCATAGAGTCCGAGATCGTCGCCGCCTTGTCCAGCAGCTCCAGGAAGTCTGCCTCAGGCTTGCTGTTGACCCGGAACAACCGTGCCCCTGCTGCACCTGCTGTTATCGCTGACGCAACAGTGTCAGCGGAGGAAGAGGAGGTGCTGGAGGTGCCTTTCCTACGGGTCTCGGACGCGTAGTCAGGGCCGTAGAAAAGGATGGGGTAGTTCGGCTCCATGACGAAGGAGCGACAGTTGCGGTAGTGCAGGTAGCAGGCAACAGCAGTAGCCCACATGAAAAAGAAGTGGATCCAGTCGATCCAGTTGAAGGGATGGGAGAAGTAGGCGAGAAGGTTTAGTGCTCGAGCCTCTGACACCAGCTCCATCAGCTCCATATAGCAGTTCACCGCTAAGAAGGTCACGAGGATCGCAGCCAGCGCGTACTGGACGGTGGCAGAGGGTCCGGTGAAGAACTCGACGGAAAAGGAGTTGATCTTGTAGTCCCAGGGGATGCTTCCTGTCTGTTCCCATCTGAAGATGAACTCGTGGAAGGAGAAGATCTTCTCAGGCTGGTTGAACGTCAAGAACGTCACCTTGACCTCCCTCGTCTTGGAGTCGATATAGCTCCCGTCCTGCATGAACTGGATCATACTTTGTGCCAGCACCTGAGTGATTCGCTCGTCGAAGTAGAGCAAGAAGCTGTCCTTGTAGGCATCAATGATGTATTTTTCTTCCTTTAGCTTCTCCTCGTCCGTGTAGTTCTGTTTGAGCTCAGATGATGACAGCAGACCGTCACCGCTGCTGTCGTACACGTTAGTGTTGTACTTGTGCGGGAAGAAGCCGAAGGGGTAAGACAGCTCCGTCTTGTCTCCCGAGGTGATGACATGGCGTTCGCTGGGCCCGTAGTACTGCAGGGGAAGCAGCTTCGAGTTGTAGATTTGACTGGACGGCATGAAGATCGGGTCAAACCCGTACGGCTCGTCGTCTATCACTTCTGAGTAGCAGTTGTCTCTGGTCTTGCTTGCTTTCACGAAGTTGTTGATGTAGCTGTTGCTACTCTCGGTGCAGTTGGCGGACCTTGTTCGCTTCTGAGCGATCATGATGGCTCCTATAATCCTGTTGTTGGGCGTCACTGCACGAACTTTGGGCTCGAAGGGAGGGATAACTTGCGGAGCCCCTTCCTCCTTGCTCCTGTACTTCCACACGCTGAACGAGCGAACGTCCGGGCAGTCAAGTTCGGAAACAAGCTTGTCTGCTCCCACGCAAGATGGAAACTTTCCAGTTCCAGGACACTTGTCAGTAGGGCAGAGGCCGTCGACAGCATCTTGCTCGTCATTCTTGCAGAAGCTGCAGACGTCGCAGTATCCTGGAGCGCGACAGAAGAGGCTTGTATTGCAGTCATAGTGAGATTGACAACTCGCGTCTGCAGCGCCTCGTCAGTCTCACACGCATGTTCCCCTCCTCTCTTACCAATATCCCCCTGATATCCCGTCGTCTGCACCTTGAAGACAACCTCTGCTGTGACGGTGACGTTGAGGATCTGCGACAGCTCGCTCAAGCTCGGTAGCTTGGTTCGAACGTCCTTGACCACGCTCGAGGCGTCTACGGAACTGACGACGTAGATGTCTGTCTCAATGCTCGCCGAGACTGTTGACGTTGAAGAGTCTCTTGTCGTTTCATGCTCTTTGCCACGGATCGACAGCGCGCCCTCCTGCCGCTTCCTTGCAAACTTCCAGAAGGCATCCTTGCTGGAGAAGGCTCGAGAAGTGGCGGAGGAGCTCGAGGACGGAGGAGAGGACGAGGCTGCTTTGGCAGAGATACTGATGTTCACTTTGATGGCTTGAGTGTCCGGGGAGACGTAGGAGGAGCTGATAATGGAGTACAGGAGCGCCTTCCACTTGTCCTCGACGTCAGTGACGCTTCCGTTACCCGGGAGCGTGAGCTTGAGGGAGAGGTGAACCTGGGAGGTGGGAAAGAAGTAATTGCTGTAGGATACGATCTCACTCGCGTACATCTTACCCTCCTTGTCTGCAGCACAGTTGATCACAGAGATGGTCTTGTACTTCATGACGCTCCAGTAGTCATCCCTGTATGGCTCTCGAATCGTAATCGTGGAACCGTTGGCGACAAGTCCAGGACATGAGCTCGCATCTGACCAGTCCGAACAGTCGCAAGTTAGAGCAGCTGGCTGACTGCCCCACGAGCTAGAGGTGACCAAGTAGCGAATGAAGGAAGAAGGAGACGTGACGGTCACTCGCTGAACGTCCAGTACCGTGTAGCCGTACGTGGTCGCATATTTGACGGGTGTCAAGACAGGACGCTGAACCTCCAACGGACAATCGGCACCTCCCCATGTGATACAGACGTGAGCAAAAGTGTTGCCGTAGATACTCGCGTAGGCGACGAACCCGCCGTAGTTGGAGGTGAAGGTCCCAGGAATGTCCTGCATGGTTCCACAAAGTGAAGTGTAGCTTGAGGAATAGTAGCAGTCGTAGCGATTATTCGGGCAATCTGACAGTTGCAAGTAGGAGTTAGAACACATCTGGATTGCTTCGCCCAGTTCGAAGACTTTGACAGTTAGGTTGACAATGTCGGCTCCATCCGGCTGGATGTACCAACTACAATAGAAGTAGTAGTAAACATCCCCAGGAATCACGATTGCTCCAGACTGTGACGTGTAAGTTTGACCACAACTGACATCTCTCAACTCGTTGTGCTTCGCAAGGTCTTGACCCTTCGAGTCAAATCCTTGAGCCTTCACCTGATCCCCCTTGCTATTTCTTTGTAGAATCACATCTTCCTTGTTCTTGTCAACTTTCTCCATGCCCTCAGGATCACCTTTCTGCACAGAGCCCTCGCTCGCCTCCTCTCCATCATTATCATCATCAACATCATCATGTCGACGACGCTTCCTCTCTTCTCGCAGCCTTTGCCGCACAGATCGCTGATGCTCTGCCGCCTTCTGCTTGACAGCTCTCCGAGCCCTCGTCTGCTCGCATGGCTCCCCGGCCAGCTGGATCTGCTTCAAGTTGTTGGGGGAGTACAGGGACTCGAAGGAGTAGGTAAAGGGATCGGGGAAGATGCTGCAGAATTTGACCTGCCAGCCGGTCATCGCACCGAGAGCGTTGCGACATTAGCCTAACCTTGTTCAGCAGCTCTTCTGCTCCAGTGACGGAGTCTTGCACCTTGATGGTTCCGTTGAGCCCGTACTTGGAGACAAAGGCGTAGCTCAGATCTGACGACACCAGTCACCATCATCTCACCATGACCGCAGCACTCGCAGCCATAAGGTGCATCGTCCTTTACTGCTAAATGCGGGAGAGAGGAAGCATTTCTCACCTTCAATGCTCAGAAAGTCGCAGAACTCCATGAGCTTGTCATCAGTTGAGCTCATCAGGTTGATAGGGTTGCAGACTGACGTCTGTACTGTATACGCATTCGACGCCCCTGTCTTCAGCACCTCCCTCGCGTTCCCAAAGATCTTCACGCCATTGCTCACTGGCAGAGCTGACAGGGAGCTGTCGCAGGTCTCGTCACTCCCAACACTTCCCACCAGCAGCAGCTTACTTGGGGTTGAGAGACATTCGAAGCGACAAGGCGAGGTCCTCGACGGCGCTCTCAGCGGACCTATCCTGATAGAGGTACAACAAGAGCTCGCCGTCGGGGACTTCGACAGACACTGAGCTCAGATTCATGTCGTTCTCGAAGATGAAATCTCCCATGGTTACGCTGAAGATGTTGTACAGGAAACGAGGGCGTTTGCTGTCTGTCTCCAACGTTGTTCCCTTGAAGTTGATTCCGAGCTCGGTGGCGCTGCTCTGTACGATATCTTCCAAGTGGATCACAAGATTTGATGTATTCTTGTACTGCCCGCAGTCCTTGGCGCACCCGAACCTCCCGAACCCGGGGTACTCGTCCGGGGTATCGCACTTGCCATCGCCACAGACAGGATCGCTGAAGGCCACGGAAGTCAACGTTCTCAACCTGACAGCAGACTTCAGTGAAAGTGATAAAATGATGTGAGAGTAGAGCGGTGGGGTCACCAAGAGTAGAGGTCATCGTTGTTGCTCAAGGATCCCGTAGCTTGATTCCCTGAGTTTGTGTAGCCTCCTGACCCCAGCGGAGAGAGGTTGCCGAGCAGGAGGTTGATAACGGAGATCTCGATCTTGAAGGAAGCCAGGATGTTTCTTTGCATGAACAGGAAGACGATGTAGATCACGAAGAAGCAGATGGTGGCTAAGAGTCGCATGTACGCGCCTGACCTTTCCATCTTCTCTCGCACCTTCTCAAGCATCCCCTCTATCTGGATCTCTCTTGCTAGCTTTGTTCGACTTCGCTTCGAAAGTCCGAAGGTCTTCCGGTGCTCAGTGTCCTTGATCACGCTGTCCACCTGGTCCATGTCCTCGAAGAGGCTCGTGACGGGCTCGTTCAGCAGGCTGTTCACTTCTTCTGCCGTGATCTTCCTCCTCCCCTTCCTGCTGCTCCTCAGCATCGATGACACCACAGCCCCTTGCATGGCGCCACCGACTTCCAAAATGTCAACTTAGAGTCCTAGCTCGTGTATGGTCCAATAAGATAGGACCAGGTGCTATTATCTTGGCATAGGACGGAGCCGAGATACGCTCTCATTGAGCGGCTTTCAAGGTTAGAGGGCCGTTTCCCGCCGGCTCCCAGATTCCAGATTTTTGACTTTATTCAAAGTTATTTGAAATTTATGCTGAAATATTCACCGGTGCTTTCAATACATACTCACAGGGGGTGGGGTCCCCTGCCTGTTCATATTTGATGCTCCCAGCGTACCCTCCCCACATTCTGACAATTATTCTCGATTGAGCTAATAGTATATTTCCATATAGTGCCTACCCATTCGAAAAGCAAAATCTGGGAAAGTCAACCGCATCGTTTCATTCTCAAATTAAAATGACTTATAGTTGAGTTCTCCAAAACATTTGGAGGAGAAAAAAAAGAAATTGACTTATATTTGTATGAAAAAATCTGGAATCTGGAATCTGGGAGCCGGCGGGAAACGGGCCAGAGTCTCTCCGACTCGGACCGGGACAGTTCATCTGGTAACTTGATAGCAAAGCAAATAGATTCCTAATGCCAATATGCGGGACAGATCTCTGGATAGACTGGAGGCCTCTTCAAGCTCCTTCTCTCTTCCACTCTCAGGCTCGACTGGTTCGCATCCACACCAACTCCAATCTTCGCAACCATTGTCTGCTGGAGGTATCTTGCATTTTGTTCCAAACAAGCAAACATGGATCGACGATGACATGAGGGATCACGCGGCCGGCGGACTGGAGCCACTGACCACCCAGGTCAATCATTCACTGAAGCTACAGCCTGCCGGTGCTTTACTTCTCTCGTGATCTGCTCAATCCACGTTCTGCCGTCAAGTTTTCCGCAGCAACAGACAATCCAGGCCGGCCGGGTCAGCAGAGCAGCACATGAAGTAAGTCCTTCTGATTCTCTTGCTTCATTTCGTCCTGCCCTCTACCTCACCAGACACTTAAACGTTTCGTCAGGTTGCACAGCAAGCGTTCGACGCGCACTGCATGCAGGGAGACAGCAGGAAGGCCAGGAGGGGCAGCGCGTTCTCGGCAGCTGCTGTGCTTGAGCAGGAGGCGGACAGTGACAACGTAGAGCGCACTGAGTAAATTCGTAGAGATGCATGTGCTGGTCTGCTTGCTGAAGGTGGATGAGAAGGACCGATTCCGGCTGGAGATGAAGGAAGATGATGAAGAGGAGGAGGTACTCTGAAGTTTATAAATGCACGATTCTCCTTATATCTAGTAAACTATGATGTATTTGAGTTATTGAACATTCTAAAACATCAGTCGTCCTCTTGATTGCTTGTTGATTATGATCAATACAAAAATAACTACATTTTCTCAAACAATAAACATATCGATAATAAGCCGCAGATATATTTATCAAATCAAAATCCGGGCCGCCAATAACTTCTTAGGTCTTCAAAATGATGTTTTATACCTTGTTCCATACAATGGTGTGTTCTCTACCTATCAATGTGCCCCCGTTTAGCATAATGAGATATGAGAGCGCTGATGATAACTTTAATTTTAGGCTTGAGAATACAGAAATAAACAGGTTAAGGTTCATGTGTAAAAACCAAGACCTACAAGATATAGATGTTCGAGATTATCAATTATGTCTGGAAATTCAAAAGCATTCAAAACAAAAGATATGAAGGTGGATATATCACGTTATCAATGGCTCTGCTCCATGGATACATCGCGAGGAGATAGTCTGATGATGTGATTGCTTTCCAAGTTAAACGTGTTGCTACAGAAATTCACCTCCTTCGACAACAAACCCTCATCCAAGATACGAAATGTGCAGCCCCCACAGCTCACACTGCTTGCGGCCTCGGACTTAGGACACATGCATGCCCAAAGAGAACACACACACGGCTTCCTCCTCATGGGCTTCTGCTTCCCTCCGTTACCCCAGCGCCGCAACTGAGTCTGAGAGCACCGGCGTCAGAGTCACTGTGACAAACTACCCCAGCTGGTCTTTATTAACAGAAACGGCTAGTCAATATTGTAACGGATAAGCCAACCGCCGCGCTATGAGAGACACAGCCGCATGTGGAGGGAATATGAGGAGAGAAGAGAAGGAGAGGAAGGTAGGGAGGTGAACTGAGAAGATCAGGAATAGGATCACAGAGTCTTCGCAAATGTCCTCTCTCCTCCTCTTTCGATTCCTCCTCCTCCTCTCGCTTGTTCACTTTGCCTCCTGCAAGGCGGTAACTCGCCTTACTCCAACGGCTGTGCAGAGCAATGTCGGCTTCCAGCTGTACATGAACGGAGCTGGGCTGACCATTGCAGACCAAGTGGTCGTTATCAAGACTCAGACGAGTCTGTCGAGCAATCAGACGAAGGGAACCAGCAGTATCTGTGCTGAAGCGCAGCTGGATCCGACCATGATTCTTGTTCCAGCGACGAATGTCTACACCGCTTCCGACGATGGCACCCAGGCTAGTGTTTACATGTCTGTCAATGGGTATTCCGGGAATGCGAAGCTATGCTTTATCTTTTATGGATCCACTTCAGCATGGACCGATAGCTCCATCGAACTCACCATACTTCCTGCACAGATCTTCTCGTCCAGTTTGACAGCAACGGGAGCAACCACGTTCTCAGTGGTGGCGAACCAGAAGTTCGAGGTATCGTTGGAAGGACAAGGGCTTGCGATTGGTTCTGGGCTCGTCACAGTCGGCTGGAGGCAAGACTGTCTATTAGGTCCGAATGTGAAAGGAGGAGAATTTAAAACTTTGGTGAATGTCAACAATGAGGGAACCAAGGGAACAGTTGAATTCACCATCACTGAAGCAGCCACAGCTGTTTCACTTTGTTACAACATTGAGGGAAAGACGTCGTACCAGTCTGCACACAGCACAGCTTCTTCATTGGGGATTTCTGCCACAAGTTGGCAGGCCTTCGACGCTACTGGGACGAGCGTCTCAACAGTTCTTCCCTTGGTCACAGTGAGGATTGAGATTTCTGGCTCGGGTCTGTTTGGGATGGAGAGTCAGAGGTCGTGCAGTCTCGCTCCAGACCTCTATTACACTTGTGTGATGATCGACACAAGCTGCAACAATCTCGGCCAAGTTCCTGGTGGTGCTTCTGTGGTTCCTGTCTCAGTGTCTGCGAACACAGTTCGAGCTGAGTTTGTGTTCTCGGATGCCTCCACCTATTTGGGGAGCAGCAGAGATGTGTCGGTCTGCGTGAAGATGGCGCAGGCAACCTCCTGGAACACAGTCGGGACTGCAAAGTTGACCATCAACTACCCTCTTTCAACCGTTTCTTCCGTGACCCCCACCATATCAAACTCCAACAACGCGCTCTCGGTCACCTTGACAGGGACGAACTTGTATGATCAGGTTGGTCTGGCCTCGAAGATCAAGCTGAGTCTGGACTGTGAGAGCTATCCAGTCGGGGACTCAACAGGGGTGATAGTCGGCGGGTCAGCTCAATCTTGTTCGTCGGTAATCACCAACTCTTCAGGGCTCCAGAGCTGTGTGGTGACCTTTGATTCCCTGTTCGTCGCTGGGACCACATCAGCACAAGTGATGATCTGTCTAGCTCAGGGGCCGAGCACCACGTACTCGAGAACGCTGAGTGTGATTTCCGTGACTCCTTCCTTCGTCAGCGCAGTACAAGCACCTTCGACGAGCACTGCAAACATTGAGTTCAGCATTTACATTGTTGGTCAGAACCTCGCAAGTTCGGGAGCAGGAGCAATCATGGCCTGGATCAACAGGAACTGCTCGACCTCTGACTCCACGGATGTGTTTGGAGGAGAAGCGCGATATCCCGTTATGATAGGGAGCAACCAGATGCTCGCCCAGATGAAGTTCACCATCACAACCTCGACTGCCCGGGCTCTGATGGTCTGCTGGAATTTGTCCTCGGCAAGTTCAAGTGCCTTCAAAGTCACGTCGGCCTTCATCTCTGCCTCGCCTCCAACGCTCACCGGCATCTCCCTCACCAACTTCTCCTCTCTCAACAACTCGCAAGTCACAGTCTTCGGGTCCGACTTCGTGGACTCCGGGCCGGCAGCTCCGACGTTTGTGATCATGGGCAACTGCTCGGACTCCAGATCCTTCCTTCCTGTGCAGAAGAACTTCGTGCTCTCGGGCTCACAGCTGTCGTTCTTGGTGATCACCAACGTTGTCCTGACGCAGCTTGAGATGTGTTGGAGGATTGGAACATCCCCTTACCAGACTCTGATGTCAAACATCAGCATCTATCCCACGTCAGTCTCCTCCTTCCAACCTCTGTCGGGGAGAGCCTTCTCCAGCATCTCCCTTACTGTCTCTGGTCAGAACCTCGGTCAAGCGATGAAGGTCAAACTTTCCACAGACTGCACGCTGGGCACTAGCAGCGACTCGATCGGAACTCTCTCTGGATCGGAGGGGGTGGCACCTACCAGCGTCTCCTCGGAGGCCGCCGTCTTCTCGTTCAGCATAGCGAGCATCGTCTCAGTGAAGCTGCAGGTCTGCTGGCAGATGGGAGATGGTCTGTACCAGCGGCTGGGAGGCGACTGGTTCAGCTTGCTGACTGGCTCGGTCTCTGCTTCTTTTTCTTCCCAGCTGGTGTCCAACGTACCCTTCAGCATCACCCTGACTGGCTACTCCTTCAAGGCGTCGCCCAGCAGCGCACTGGTGAAGTTGAAGTTGTCGCAGGATTGCTCTCTGCAGGTCAACCTGGACAACAACACCTGCGGGGGAGGAGGAGACTGCGTGCAAGGAGGGCAGGGGGTGCTGGGGACGATGGTCAACTCGATCGACTTGAGGTTTGACTTCGTGATGGCGGTCAGGAATCAAGTGACTATGAAGCTCTGTTGGACCCTCAACTCTTCTCCTCTCGCTTACATCGATCTTGACAGCAGGATCTCCGTCCTGGTCAACCCTGTCCTCCTGACCTCCTCCGTCATCCCTGCCAACGTTTTCGTCAACGAACCCTTCCTCGTCCAGCTCCTTGGGACCGGTCTCTCCTCCTCCTCCGCCGTCCCTACCAAGGTCAAGCTGTCGACCTCGTGCATGGGCGCCGATGACGTGGACCCGCTGCTGGACATTGCGGGAGGAGAGGCGCGCTACATATCATGCACAGATGCATCGACTGGTTCAGCATACCTCACCTTCACTGTGCGAGACAGCTCCTCTCCCTTCGTCGTCTGCGCTGCTCAAGGGGCCTTGGGCTCGCCGTCGAGCCCATGGCAGGAGGTGAAGGCGGCCAACACGCCGTACCGGGTGAGGTCAGCGACAGTCACCTCAGCATCTCTCTCCCCGAAGTACAGCAGCATCATGAATAACGACCTTGTCCTGCTGTTCAGCGGGCGCGGCTTGGGCTCGTCGTTCGAGGACGTGAAAGTCAAGCTCGTCAACACCAGTCAAGGATGCTCGTCCTCCTACTCCGACCCAGGGCAGTTCCCCTGCTCCTGCTCCTCGTCCCTTGCTGCCGAGCTCGTGTGTAACTGTGCTTCATCCTCATCGGACTCTGGTTACCTAGCAGGAGGAGCCCCGTCTCTGGTCCTCGCAGACAGCTCCTCCTCAGGCCACTCATCCTTCATCCCGCAGTTCAGCGGAGCAGCAACAGCTTGCTGGTCCTACGGAGGGATCGGACTGGTCGGCACCTCCTACCTCGAGCTCCTTCGCTTCACCGTCTCGCAGCCGAGCATCGCATGCTTCTACCCGCTCTACGTGGCCCCCAGCACCACCGCAAACTTCTACCTGCTGGGTCAAGGCATGAGACCCACAGACACGGTCAAGATCGTGCGGGAGTTCGACGGCTGCTCCTCCCCCGCCCTCCTCTCGGGCACCTTAGGGAGTGGAGTGAGCATGTCGGGGATGCAGGGAGTGCTGCCCCTTCTAGTGAGCATGGAGCTGGGGACGTACAACCGCTACATCCTCTGCTACTCCTTCGGTCTCAACTTCACCCGCGTTGGATTCAGCGTGCTACAGGTCTCCACTCCAGTGATCGAGAGCTTCAGCCCTGCCGCGCTGATTCGAGGGGACAACGTTGTCACCATCTACGGGAGGGCGCTGCATGAAGGTTTGACCTTCGTCCTCACGCTCCTTGACAGGACCTGCGCCCAAGTCACGGCTGCCTCGGCCTTGGTGAATATGGTGAGAAGAATTCGTATTGTTTCCTCCGCTTCTCCTCTCTCTCGTCCTCCTCCTTTCCTCCTCGCTCCTCTGCAGCTTCCCTACACCTCTCACTTCGCTTCCTTGACCTTCCATCCTCTTCCTCACCCTCTGACTTCTCCTGCTCTCTCTCCTGCTCCTCCTCCCTTCGTGCTTCTTCAACTGCCTCTGACATTCTTCACAGGGTCCCATCAGTTGCGATGACAAGAGACTCTCCTGTTCCCTCAGTTTCACCGTCCCAGATACAGTCAGTACCATCCTCTACCTCTGCCAGCGTCCTCCCAACAACCAGTTTCTCGCCGTTGGCTCGTTGAAGCTTCAGGGCCCTTCAGCAAGCACCATCACTCCCTCCGCCGTCTCTCCCGATGTCCCCAGCTCCTTCGAGGTCAGTGGAAGTGGCTTCTTTGCCACAGGTGCAGTATCCGCCTCCTTCCTCGCTCGTGGGGCCTCGTGCTCGTCCTACTCAAGCGACCAGCTCGTTGCCTCCGTTGCTTCCACTTCCATCTTGTTCGTCAACTCGACGCTCTACCGCTTCAGCTACGTCTTTGCGGGAGGAAGCATCGGAGACATCAGGGTTTGCTTCAGGACTAGCACCGTACAAGACCTCGGAACGATCTCGATCGTCTCCCCCAGCATCTCCCTCGCCCTTCCCCGCTACCTCACCAACTTGACGCTGCTCACCGTGATACAGCAGGGTGTACCCTTCAACCTTTCCCTCCAAGGTACCGGTCTCTCCTCCCCGAACATCTTCGTCAAGATCGTCCCTTCCTCGCAGCTCTGCCAGGGTACCGTCAGCCTCGTCACAGGAGCGGCGGCAGGAGGTGAAGCTCGCCTCGTCAGCAGCCAGCAGGCTCAGTTCCCAGCTGGAATCCGGCAGAGCGGGCCGATGCACGTCTGCTTCCTCACGCGCGGAGCTCCGTCGTTCCTCGACGTCCCCAGCAGCTCCTTCACCGTCCTCCCCCCCGTCACTGTGACCAGCATCATCCCAGCGTACACGATAGCGGGGGATGGAGCAACCAAGGTCTTCCTGTACGGCAGCGCCCTTGTTTCCTCCAGCTTCTCCTCCTCGCTCTTCCTCTCCTCCGCCGACTGCATCGTCGGCTCGCAGCCTCCCGGTGGCTCCTCTCAGCTCCTTGTGGACGATGACGGGGGCAACGGTCGCGTCGCCTTCGCCTCCTTCGTCTTGACCTCCCCGGGGACCTTCAGGCTCTGCGTGCAGACTTCCCTGTCGTCGCTTCCTCAAGACGTCGGCGCGATCAACGTCCTTGCCGCCTCTTCTCTTCCTCTCCTCGCGCAGATCGCTCCGACTTCCCTCCTCGCGGGTCAGGCCACCAGCTTCGTGCTGAGGGGACAGGCTCTCTCCTCGACACTCAAGCTCATGGTCGCCTCCTCCTGCTCCTCCCCGACGAGCTACATCAGCTCCATCGCTTCGGTGAACGACAACAGGACGATCGCTTACAGCTCGGCCCTCACTGTCCCCTTCATCTCTTCCTCGGTCAAGATCTGCATCGCTACGTCCTCCAGCTCCACCTACCTCGAGCTCGTGACGTTGAGCATGAAGAGTCTGATACGGCCATCATTGTACCAACAGCCGGCGGCTCCTCTCCTCCTCTATCGCAACTTCCCAGCTGATCTGGAGTTTGTGGGGGATGGCATCGGAGCTGGAGACGCTGTCTTCATCTCCTCCTCCTCCTGCCCCTCCGACCCTGCGAAGCCGGTCCTCAATCTCCTTTCGGTCGTTCCAACTGTACCCGGAGGGGAGGTCAAAGTCATCGCAAGCAGCATGCTCGTGCTGCCTCTGGCGGCGTGCGAGACTTCTCGCTATCGTCTATCCTTCCGGCTCACAGCAATGTCCTCCTCCTCCTCCCCCTACAGCATCTGCTACGTCCCTCTCGGATTCGCTTACGCTCTCACCATCAGCCCGGGAGTGCAGGTTGTGACTCCGTTCCTCTCCTCCTTCCTCCCCAAGTTCGTCAACAGCATGAGCTTCCAGCAGATCACCTTCCAGGGGTCAGGAGGATACGCACCAGGAGACAAGCTCATCCTCCTCTCGCCCTACTCCTCATCCTCCTCCTTCCTCACCAGGACTTGCCAGAGCTACGTGGGAGCGTACGAGCAGGTGGCGACGAGCTTGCGGTACACGGTCAGAGCGCTGGATATCAACGGGAGGACGTTGGTTGCCTACTTCAACCTCTCGGAGACGAGGACGGAATTTCTCGCATGCTACCAGCCCTACGATGCTACTGGGTGGCGGGATGTGACGTCGGTCAGCAGCGGGGAAGTGATCAAGGTCGTGCCCCCAACGGCTTCCTCCCTCGCCACTCCCTTCCTCTACGCCCGCTCCCTCACCACGCTGTCTGTCGTGGGTCTGGGGCTCTCGTTCGGGGACAGGTACTGGCATTCATACATTCCCCTGCCTGCCTGCCTGCCTGCGTGCCTCCCTCCTGCTGTCTCTCTTTCCTTCTCTTTCCCCCTTTGATTCCTTTCCCCGGACACCTCTCCCATTCTTCTTCCTCCTCCTCTTCTCTCCTGATGAACCCACCCTTCAGTTACAAGATCGTCAAGGAGGGAGGAAGCTGTCAATCCGATCTTCCTGTGGTAGGAGGGGACGTGCGAATTCCCAGCAGGATTTCTCAGCTCGCTGACACGGCTCAAGTCTCCTTCCTGCTGGGGGCAGAGGCCATAGGACGCACTACCGTCTGCTTTCTCCCCCGAGGAGGATGCGACTTTTCCCCCGTCGCCTCACTTGAGGTCAGGCCGCCTGCTCCCTTGGCCGTTGACGGCAGCACGGACTACGGCGGCGCCATCCTAAACCATCCATTCCTCCTCCGGCTCTCCGGCATCGGGCTCAGCAGCACTGACGACCTCACGGTCGTACCGGGTGACGTGGCATGCAGCGACGGGGTCATGTCCTCTGCTAGGATCTTCTCCTACGCCTCCAGCAGCTCTGCGAGCGCAGACGGAAGTTTGTCCTCCTTCCTCCTCACCGTCACAGGCTACGAGACGCGCGGCAAGCTCTGCTTCCGCTACTGCTCCAACGGAGGATGCAGCGGCAGGTCGTCCTTCCGGGAGACCGGGTTGTACCTCAAGCTCCTTGAGCCGACAGTCACTCAGGTGCCTGTTGTCTCCCCCTTCTCCCCTCCTCCTCGATCGATCTGCTGCTTCTTACAGCTCGGGAGTGAATCTTGTCCTCTCTTCCTCAAATCCCCTCCTCCTCTGCTGTTCGTTTCTCCTTCCTCCTTTCCTTCCTCCGCTCTTCTCCTCCCCTCCGCGCTCATCCTGTCTCAGGTCAAACCCAATGAGATCCAAAAAGACATGTACGTCACGTTTGACATTCAAGGAAACTCGTTTACACCCAAAGACAACTTCAAGGTTTCCCTCGTTTTCTCCTTCCTCTTCTCCCGCCTCCCCTTCCTCCCACTTTCCTTCTCCTCCTCCTCCTCCTCCTGCACCACCACCACCACCACCACGCTTTTCTTCCTTCCTCCTTGGCCCATTCTTCTTCTACGCACCATTTCCCGATCCCTTCCACTCCCCCTCTTCCTCCCCTTCCTCCCCTTCCTCCCCTTCCTCCTCTTCTCTTTCAACATGAACTCACTTCTCTGTCCAGCTCGTCCACAGCACAGCGCCGTGCTCGGGCAGTGATTCGGCTCTGGACGTGATGACGGGAGGTAACGGTCGCGCCCCCTGGAACGTCTCCTGTCCCTACGCCTTGGGCGTGCAATGCAAGGGGGCCGTCAGCTTCACCATCGAGGGGACTGGGACTGGCAAGCTCTGCTACCTGCCCTCAGGAGGAGCAGGTTCTTTCTCCTCCTCTAGCTCCTCCAGCTCCTCCTCCTCCTCCTCCTCTAGCTCTGTCTTCTGCTCCTGCTCCTGCTCATCCTCTCGATCTCCTCGTTCTCGTCCTCCCCCTCCTCCTCCTGCTCTTCTGCTTCTGCTCCTGCTCCTGCTCTTGCTCTTGCTCCTGCTCCTGCTCTTGCTCCTGCTCCTGCTCTTGCTCCTCCTGCTCCTTTTGCTCTCCTCCTGCCTCTAGCTCCTGCACCTGCTCCTTGACCTCCTCCTCCCCTTCCCGTCATCACCTCGTCTCTCGTGCGCTTCTCCGCCCTCCCCCTCATTGTCGCTCCTGCTCTTGTGGGTTCTCAACCGGCTCAGGTTATCGCGACATCCTCCTCGGCTACAACAACACACCATACATCATCCAAGTCTGCGAGGGGTGAGCCCTCCCTCCTCCTCTCCCCTCCTCTCCTC